AGTGAAGAACAGCAGGGACACATTTAACTGTGCACAGGATGTAAATGCTATTAAATTCCATTAATGCTGTGTGCAGTATTTGGATACCTGTAACGAGGGTCATTAATTATCAGCTTCATTGCCTGCTCCCATGATGCATTGGAGGAAACGCCCTATGGTCACATAGAGGGAGAGAGATGCAAATGTACTTTTCTTGTGACTCAATAATGCATGTTTGGGAAGGGAAAAAAAAAAAAAAAGCTCCAAATGGCATCAAAACAGAAAAAAAGGTTCACATTTAAAAGCAGTAGTAATAGTGCATTACTGCAAACTTCCCAGGAGGAAGGCAGCACAACTTCATTTAGATCTGCTAAAGAACCTAATTAGTAATCAAGACATTTTTTATGAAATGAAATATACTGAGCGATTTTAATTTGACCGAATAGATTATTTAATTTCTCATGTCATTGTCGAGAGGCATAAATGGGCGTCCACTGAGAGGGGCAGAAAAACAGCAGAACAGTAATAAAAAGGTTTGGAGAAGTAGATCTCCATATGTTGACGTCACAAAACAGAAAGTTCTTCATCCATTCTGAGCGGGTATTTCTGAAAGGCTGTCAGGGGTCTGTGAAGCGTGCGATTTCACCGTCTTCTGTTTCACTCCAGTCTAATCACACTCACAGCAATTAAACAGCCCTCTCTCAGGAGCACTTTGTGCGCCAAATTAAAACACACTAAATTTAGAAAGACCCAGCCGGAATATCAACACCTCCCTCTTCACTACGGGGGGGGGGGGGGGGGGTTCACCGTCTTCTGTTTCACTCCAGTCTAATCACACTCACAGCAATTAAACAGCCCTCTCTCAGGAGCACTTTGTGCGCCAAATTAAAACACACTAAATTTAGAAAGACCCAGCCGGAATATCAAGACCTCCCTCTTCACTACAGGAGAGAGAGAGAAAAAAATTACCTTTTCTTTCAGCAGTTCTTTAAATGCCTGCTTTGCCTCCTCTTTTGTGTTCCACTTGTAAACTTTCTTCACCAGCTCAGGTCTCTCCTCCTTAGAAACATCATTACTGCAAATAAATAAATAACACGTATCATAGAAAATCGCGTAGTGCATGATGGTCACAGACTCCGATTTATTAGCTTCAGACTATGATCCAGTTGGAGGATATCAAACATGTCTGATATTTTGAGCCTATTTTCATTTGTCACACGTCTCCTAGCAACAAGTCACACGTTTCTGCGCGAGTTTGTTTTGGAATGACTTTAAAGTCTGCTAGTGTATGATCCTCAGCCGTTTAGTGTACGATGGCCAGTTTTTCCATCTGTGACTATTACAGAGTCGGTGAGTGTATGATGCCCATTATCTGTTCAGTTTTTGAAAGTCGTGTAGCGTATGTGTTGAGGGTTCATTACCTGGGTTGTGTCTCTACGCTCGGCGTTTCCTCAGTGGAGTTAACGGTGACATCACTGCTGACCTCAGCAACCGGTGCAGGCACGTGAGATGGCTGTTCCTCTGTGGCGACTGTCGCCATGGTAGCCTCTGTCTCAGCAACTTCTGCCACGGTAACAGAGGACTCGCTTTGAGATGTAAGAGCAGGGGAGGTGCCAGGAGCCACAACATCAACCGTCCTTTACCAGACACACAGATTTAAAAATTATTATTGTTGCATAATCTTTGCATTTCTAAAAAAAAATAAAAATTGTATGGAAATTATATTTTTAATGGAGTTTAAAAAAAATTCAAAATTTCAGTAACACCGAAGACTACTCTGATCCTGGGAAAAAATAAATAGTATTAATGTTTCACTTTACTATTAAGCCATCGATTTGTGTAAAATGATGCCAGAAGTAGTGGTGAACCTGCACAACCTTTGCCAACAATGGACAGTTTTCCACTAACAGTAAAGCGTTTTGAAACCAAAAACTGCTTTCTGTAAATCTAACGGTACATTAAAAGGATAGTTCACCCAAAAATGTTTATTCTGTCATGAATTATTAACCCTGTCAAAGCAAGCATGTTTGAGCTTCCATTTACCAGATCTGATGAGCTCTACGTATGTGGGTTGATCAATGTTTATATGTAAAAATAAGGGTCAAAATTAAATGTTTATCATTTAATCACTCAATTGATATAGATTAATTTGTGTTTTGAAGATGAACAAAAGAGACATAAGGGTTTGGAATGACTTGAGGGTAAGTAAATGACATTTGTATTTTTGGGTGAACTAACCCTTTATGGTCTTAATAAATAAAGTTGATGCTCACCCGTTTTCCTCCGCCTTTATCATCGCTGAAGAAAAAAAAAAAAGAGAGAGAAAAGTTAAACCATTTCCTCATGTGAGGTTTCTGGATGTGTATTTATTCTGCATACTGACCCTCCAGGTCCTCCAGTTCTTTGGGTTTAGTCCAGCGAGACTCTTTGGTCTGTGAGTTGTAGTAATAGGGCTTGCCGGTGTCTGACTTGTACTCTTTCCACGGGCATTTGGACAACATTTGCTGCAAAACACAAACTTCTTTCATTCTGTTTCAAAATACACAGTTATTACACAACAAATGAGAAAATGCAAAGAAACCTTTGAATAGAAACAAAAGGATATCTCATATTTTTGAATTAAGTTTTATATTTCAACCTAGCTTAATATACATTTTCCCATAAATTTATTTTACTTCAAAATTTGTAATAAAATGTAGACAATACAATACAAAAAAAATGATTCGTTTGGTTCAGCAATTTGTTTGGTATAAACTAATAAATGCATATAAAAACACAGTGCTCTTTACTTGTCTAACATAAACTAACTAGTAATAATAGTAACACTACGTTAATTATGGGACATTAGACTCTCAAATACAGAATATGGCTAAAGGTCATGACCTCCTGAATGAACAGTAACTGGCAGATGAAATATGACTGTGTAAGCAAGAAGGGCGTGTTGACCTTTTTTTACCTCTGCAGGTGATTTGAGTTCATCTGGTTTCTCCCAGGTGGACTGTTTGGTATCGGTGTTGTAGTAATATGTTTTTCCATCCAGGGATTTGTGCTCGGTCCATACTGACTTCTGCAGGAGACATCATGAACAATTCGCTCAGTACATCATTAGTGGCAAGTCATCACTAGTCATTTCATCAGCCACATCCTGCAGTCGCTAGTTAAGTTGTATAAAACCAGTACACACCGGCTAATTACATCCATAGCATTCATAGTTGAATTCTTATTGTTCCCTCCTTCCTAGGGATGGGAATTGTAAATAATTTAATTACCAATTCTGCTTCTGAACCTCATTTAAAAGGATAGTTCACACACAAATCAAAATTCACCCGCAAGTTGTTCCAAACCTGTATAAGTTTGCTGCTTCTGTTGAACACAAAAGTAGATATTTTGAAGACTTTTTGTAACCGAACAGTTGCTGGTAGCCATTGACTTCCATAATATGGAAACAAAAATACTATGCAAGTCCATGGGGACTCAAAACTGTATGGTTACAAACATTCTTCAAAATATCTTCTTTTGTGTTCAACACAAGAAAGAAATTCATACAGGTTTAGAACAACTGATACAATATGTGTGTGTGTATATATATATATATATATATA